ATGTGAAATCGGTTCAGACTTATGCTCCTATAATTGCCACTAATTCCACGTATAAGTTTCACACTAAGTCCACAATGAGCTGTTGAGGTTCTCACGTGATTGACCGGCGGCATCGCGTGCCAGTTAAAATCACTATTCCAGCCAAAAATAGTTATCGTCGAGACGAGAAGGTAGATTTGTTGCACGCGGCTCTCTAAAAAAAAATCTTTCTCAGTTCTCGCTGACATAGGAAAGGATTGAGAAAGACACGCTTTCATCGAAATCAAATTCAAAACAGGGTCTGGGAGACACCAATATTTCCCCCCTTCTCCTCCCCAGCCTTTCAAATTCTAAAGTAGCATGTTAAGCAATCGATTTACGATGTAACGCGGTCGAGCTGTAAAGCATTCTTATGTAAACAAATCAAAGCAAGCCGCTTATATAGGCGACGCTACGGATTTCGTGTAATTCCGAAAGATCATCGAACAATCTCTCAAGCGCGTGGCAATGCTGGTGATTTTTCCTAACATCGCAAAATCGTCTTGACAATCCATATTCTCCGTTATTATATTGTAAATAACGATATGCGACTAGTTTAACATTTATACGCGAATAACAAATAAAAATATTGTAGTCGTTATTCTATCTAACTTGATATTATTGCTAAATAGAAGATTCATATATATTTTGCGTAATAACATAATTTATTATTGTACGCTGATCATACCCGGTTTGTTAAAAATCTTGTTAAAGGCACAAAACAAGAACGGGTCCTTAATATGTATCTTGATTACGCGTCATAATAATAGACACGTGATTACGGTACTCGGAATACATGGATACGTATGTGATATTAAACGATTTAATAAGATAGCATATATGATACAATACAACACAATTGTAAGATACGATATATTGTTATCTAGGCATCTGCATCGCCAAAATTTCTATTCCCTCCCTCGTCTCTACAACTTTTTGCCGCGAATAGAAAAATTAAATGCTCGAAAAATCGGTGTGTAATCGCAGGATACGCAGGACCTCGATCGCAACTCTCTCTCTCATGTCAGCGTAATATTTTCATATTATAATCAATAAAGCGAACACTTTATATTCGGTAGATTTTCAAGTGATACGCGCGGAATATCATTAACTTGTCGGTTAACTTTAAACAGTATAATACAAAATTCTGACAAATCTTCTTTCCTTAAATTTGTTATATATAAAGAATTATCATTGAGTCTGCTTTTTTTCTTAAAAATTTTACACAAATCTTGTTGATAAAAGACATTTTTAATTCTCCCTTTAAAAATATGTATGTGTAAAATTTGTTATTTTAACACGCAAGTTCTATCAATTTTATACTTTCACACAAACTCAACAGTTTATACTACTTAGAGCTAAGGCATGTTTTAAACGACGAGCGCCGTCATCAACGATGAGTACGAGCAACGTTGCTTCCATTTAATTACGTATGCAAAATGATGCATAATTTAATTTGAGCATGGGGCGATAAAATTATCTTTGCGAGTCTATTATATAAACGCGATTTTTTTAAGTGAAGTAATCGTTTGAAGATCAAGAAATAACTCAACTCGTAAATATTGCACCGCTCGACATAAACTCTCTAATATATTGATCTCTCTCGGATAAGGATAAGGCGATTTTGTAACTCCTATTTAAAATACTATCATATCTCGTATTATGAAATAATGCTGAACTTTACTGAACATAGGATGCTGCGCATAGCATATACAATATATGATAATTTTGCCCAACGTATATTTTATTTTAATTTGGATTTTAATAATAATAATTATCGTTTACTGATTTTATCAATAAATTACAGCATTTTTAATACAATTTTCTTTTTGTTACACTTTAATCGTGGCTATTTAAAATATATGAAATATTATTTTTGCGAAGCGAATTCTATATTTTAATTGAACATCTTCTTTAATTACATCCATATACTTTACTCAAAAAACAAAATATTCTAGAGTCATGCAATACTTTTTGTCTTACATTTATTAATCAAAATTTTAAGAATATAATTTGAAGAGAGAGAAATTTAAAAAAAAAATTTAATAATGATATTTCATATCTTTTATTTTTTTTTTCTTGTGCTCTCTTGTCACTTGTACTAATCGATCTTACATTATGTCGTCTAATCGTGCTTTGTCTTGCTCGTATAATTTTGACATCAATACTTTTCGATAAAGCTCGTCATTTATATAACACCCATGGAACAATCGCGCATGATCGACGAACGCGACCCTCGATCTTCCGAAATGTTTTCGGCGAAGCACAAGGACAAGACATAAAATTTAACCGCTTTTCCGCTGTGATATTTATTTCCATAATTAATAGCCGGTCAAACCATCCGCTTCGAAAGAATCTCATAAATGATCAAATGATGGTTAACGATAAAATGTATCATTGAGATATATATTGAAAAGCGGAGATTTGATATATGAAATATATTTGAGACGTATTTGATATATCGAAGCAAGTTGGGCGGTCCTAGCGTAGACATAGCGAGCTCTAATATCTCCTGTAGGGCTCCTCTTCTTCGGGATGAGCAGCATTATATGCCAGGGCGCGTTGTATCGCCAGCGGTATCGGCGGAGGTGTCGGCAGGTGGGCGCCGCTCGGCAAGAAGCCGTTCTCATCAGCCGTGTAAGTGACCACAATCGGCGTGCCGTCCGGTGCTGTGTAACTGTATTGACCTCTGACCGCCTCGATCTGATTAGGTCCAATGTTCTTCGGTTGCCCCGTCTCCGCTACGGAGATACCGTTTTCCGTGTCGTAGCTGCAACGATGAACATCATTCACATATCGAGCGAATACTTTTTTATAAAAGAAAAAGAAACTGGGAAAGAATATTTGTTAAATAAGATAAGAATTTAATCAAATAAAAGAAATCAATAAATGTAAAGTAAAAATTTTTTTTTTGATTAATCGATAAAAATTAGAAATTAGAAATTAAATTAAAATAAAAAGTAAAATGTGAATCATAAAGTATAGAATTTTTATGTTTATATATATACAGGTTTATACACACAACGCAACGAAATTTTTAAAAATATACAATTTGAGAGGTAATTTCGCAAAATCTGCACAAATATAGTTAGATCAATCGTTATATCAGGTGATTGCATAAGTTCGTGCCCAATTTAAATATAAACTTCAATAGATTATATTTTAGAGATAACACTTTTATTAATCAATTATATAGTCTCCATTCTTTTCTACAATGGTTTTCCAACGATCTACAAGCTTGTCGATTCCATTTTTGAAGAAAAAACTTGGTTTTTCTTGAAAAAAGTTTGTAAAGTGGTTTTCGACAGCTTCCTCGGAATTGAGATTCTTGCCATTTAAACTATTCTGCAAAGACCGGAACAGATAAAAATCTGAAGGCGCAATATCTGGAGAATATGGCAGGTGCTGCAGAATTTCCCATTGCAACTCCTGCAATTTTCGCAGCGTCTGTTGAGCGACGTGTAGCCTAGCATTGTCGTGGTGGAAGATGACGCCTTTTCGATTGGCCAAAATCGGACGTTTTTCTCGAATAGCTGCAGCGAGTCTAGTTAGTTGCTCACAGTACTTGTCCGCCGTGATTGTTTCGCCGCGTCGGAGCAGCTCAAAGTAAATAATTCCCTTGCGATCCCACCAAACACACAGCAACACCTTCATCGGATGCAAGCCAGCCTTTGCTACGGGTTCTGCTCCTTCAGCTGCTGTTTTCCATGTCCTCTTTCGCTGTACGTTTTTGTAGAGAATCCACTTTTCATCGCCTGTTACCATTCGATCTAAAAAAGGCTCTTTTTTGTTACACTCGAGAAGAGAAAGAGCCACAGTCATACGGTTTAGCTTATTCCTTTCAGTCAGGAGATGCGGCACCCATGTATCAAGCTTGGAAACGTATCCAAGCTTTTTTAAATGACGAAAAGCGGTTGAATTATCGATGTTCAGCCTCTCAGCAATATCCTCAGTTGTAATCCTTGGGTTTCTTTCCACTAAGGCATGCACAATGTTATCATCAATGCCAGAAGGCCGTCCAGAGCGGGTTTGATCCTCCATGTTGAAATCACCATTTCGAAATCTGCCAAACCACTTTTTGACTGTTCGGAGAGCAGGAGCGTGGTCCAAATAAACGGTTTGAATATTTTTTTGTGCAATCCCAACACTCACGCCTTTCCGAAATTTATATAACATTACATGCCGCAAATGCACCTTGTGGTTCTCCATTTTTAATGATTTCTCTTATGCACCAATGGACTTATCTGAACAATGTCTGATGCTAAATTGACATAAGACAACGTCATCTATTCGGTGTAAGCAACAATTACCACACGAAAACAATAGAACTCCGCCATGCAGTAACTTAATGCCATCTATGAAAATCGGGCACGAACTTATGCAATCATCCAATATTATAGAGCGATAACACTGACATCGGTATTGACATCGGTTTTGCGATTATTATATTTTCTTCGTATCTGATCGCTCCCACCGAGCTGCTATTAAAAGCCAGTGAGAAAAGAATTATACGCCACCTTCGAGGTGTTAGGTGGAGCCTGGCTACGTCTCACTGTCCCAGAGACAGGTGTCACGGGAGGGGCTCGAGATAGGTGCGAACTCCAGGGCACTGAGGATGGGTAAGGAAGGTGAACGCGTAGGCAGACAGGCCGGTATAGGTAGGTAGGTAGGTAGGTCGATTGTAATTGTTCAATTGCGCAATGCATTATTGCGAGCTGCGCAGCCGAGTGGCGCGTGTACGATTAACATCAAAGCCAATTATGCATCCTTCCTTCGGTCATCTTGCGCGAGAAGGGTTCACGGTTTTTGCAATTTCGATTAAAGTGATCGGCGCCTTAAATAACGTCCGAAGAATACATCAGGTGATTTGATCCGCGCGCGATCTCGATACGTCCGATCGATTTTATTTCTTGCACGGATCTTGAGAGTCGTATAGAGTTTCGAAGTTAAAGAAAAAGAGACGATGGATTATTACGGAGGTATGAATATCGTCTGCTCATCGGGAAACCGACACTTGTGCAAAGAGAAGTTTGCTAAATTGAACGAGATATTAGATCACCGAGAAACGATAATATACGGAATGAGTGTCGTAACGGTGATCGCAGATTTCTAATTCCGTAGTCGATTGTTGCAGTCGTTAATCGCGTGCAAGATTCGTCATGTAGAGATCTAGCGTGATTTAAATATCGCGCTGTAAGAAGATTTGAGATGCTCGCATCAGCTAACGGATAATTCGATAATCATCGACTTATAATCTCGTCGTGTTACTAACTAATTACAGCGAATCATGCGATCTGTCTTGGAAAGTCGGAACAGAGAGGAACTATTTCGACGCCTCTTCGCGATATTCGATTTTCGTGTATAATTTTGCATAATTATCGATTTCGTACATGCCAATACTTATCTAATAATGCAATATAATATTAAACTAGTCGCGCAGAGCTAAGGTAATAATTATAGATAATTATTATACATTTCGTGCACAGTATCATGAATCTGAATATGTTGTAAGCTTGTAACAATCATCATTAGAATGGTAACTAATCGCTTTACGCGCAACTCATATCCCATTATACTTTTAAATAAATAAATAAGTAAATATTCAATGTTTCTATGTTGAACCAATTTGAAATGTTTATTCTAACATAAACTAGCATTTTTTATATTATTGCATTACATTTGTGTTTCATATTACCGTTTTAAAAATTAATTACTTGTGATAAAATATGATGAAATATTCGCGATAATTCCATTATAATATAATCACTGAATTCTTAGAAAAGCGTTAAAAAATAGGTGAAACTAGAGCTGGAAATCTTTTTACGAGATTATGTCAACATTATACATGAAGAAATATTCATAAATTTACAATGCATATGTTTATTGCAACTGACATATAATTCCGTTGATCTTTATATATGTCTAATTACGGGCTAATGGAGCATACCATATTCAGAAACAGTTCCAAGGAATCATATAAGACTTATTGGCCTTCGCGTTGATTTAAATTTTCTTTCTCTTTAATCGAGCACTATCTTCACTGTGCACATTCGAAAGATTCGAAAATTGCTTGGGTAATTGGGTAATAAAAATAATCGCGAGTCTAGCTAACGAAAATTACACAAGCACGATTAACATAATTGCAATGTTCAATCTCCTTTTTTGGGCAGTAAGAAAATGTCGGCATCATTCTGAGATTGAAAAATATCAGTTGGATATATATATATACAGGATGTCCTAAAATCACCGTACTTCCTCTTAATGGCAGATTCTCCTGTACATATTTCTTAATGTAAAGTTAAACATATTTTTGAAAATGAGATTCTATTTGCACTATTTGTTTGAATATAATTCACAATATAATCATTTATATTTTTAGGAATTGCTAGTTCATGAATTAGTAATCTAATATATTTTTCGTTAAAAAAAAATAAACTTTAAATTACAATTATAAATTCTTGCTATTAGAGAGCAAGAATCACACAAGCAAAAATTTTATCTTAACAAAGATTAAAATTAATTTTTATTAAACTCTATTAATGAGTAATGAAAAATTTTTTTAAATGCTTCTAAATATATATTCTTTAAGATAAAACAAAAATTTTCATTAATATAACTTTTCCTTTTGGAAATAATATATTTTTGCTTCTATGCTCTTTTTTTAGTTATCGCCTATGAAAGAAAGTATGAAAAATCTGAGATAGTTTATACACATGTATATATTAAAAAACAATTCACAAATTCTAGTCACCAAGTACGTAATCATCTTGTACATTTCCGGTGCATTAACTGCACTCTTCCTTCCGCCTATTAATCACTCCTCGATGAAGACGCAAGACGATGGCAAAAAAAACTGGCAGTCACACCGAGCGCGTTAGCTTCGCGATTACATCGACCGAATGATGCGAGCGTGTTTTCATACATTCGTTTTCATACAACCGAGATTCCTCGAGCGTATCGAGATCGTTCTCTCGGCGAAACGTACGGATGCCTCGGCGCCGCTTATCGGAGCTTTGGGATGAGAGACGAATAGGAAGGACGATCTCACCTGTAAGAATACGATCCGTCCGGCGAGGAGTCTTGCGATTGTCGCAGTATAGCGTAGTAAGGCCGGCCGTAGTAGTTGGGATTATAATATTGCGTCGGCTGTGGAGTCGTAAACCTATTGAGTTGTGCGCTCGCCATCATCGTCAAGCCGAGTAGCAGTATCTGCGAAATAATTATTAGGATGAAAATTGACGCGTATTGAGCGAAATCTTTTAGGAAAAGAAAAAAAGGAGGGAGAGAATGAGTTTGAATATAGCATTTATATAACAATTATATTAAAAGGATAAAAAATATCTTGTACTATATTTGAGAAATTCTATAATTATAGCTTTAGAATAAATTACGTATTATTACTGCAATTGCAAAGCGCAAATGTTATTTCGCACTTGCGAAAAAAAAATATTGAATCGTTATCCGATATTATATCATAGATTAGCACGAGGAATATTGACAGATTCAGCGTGAGTCGCGCGGAATTATATAATATTACGTATTACTCATACAAAAGGGCCGATTAAATAAGTGGGTAGGTTGAAATGGGTAGGCAGTTTGGAACGTGCGCGCAGAAGAATTTCGATTCACTACATTCAAGTCGGCGCGGTTATGAATAATTATACGTATCTCGCGCGTCATAATTCTTGTCTCACGCTTCCTCCATTGTGCGTTGAAAACTGTGGAGAGTTAAGTGATTTGCGACACAAGGCGTAATATTTTCCGCGCGCGAGCTAACGAGAAAGAAATGACTATAATAAACACAAGGAGCACTGAAATCGATCTATGTAACGGTGGCCGTGTAAAAATATCATCCTCTCGACGTATTTCATTATAAATCGGTCGCGCAATGCGATTATATTCGAGCAACGATAGTATTTACGCGATACGGAACGGAATATGCGATTTCGCATCGCAATTGTAACGAGCACAATCGCAAACATCCTTATTTTTCCGAGAATATTACAATCGCTATCTGTATGCACTGAACGGAAATGACGAAATTAATGCCGATAAAATCTTCGTCTTCGTCTTCGTCCCAACCGATACGTTCGGTAAAATATTCTCTCCGATTTCGCATCGCGAATAAAATATGAATTTTGATAAGTTCACACGTGCGATTGCGTAACCGACCAAACTTTCAGTGACAAACGGGTCACTATCGTAAAATTTCTCCGCATCAAATTGCCACGATTTCATCATGCTTCATTAGACTTTTGATCGCAGAATCTATATACATCCAGTTTAATAAGACGGCATACCCTCGCGCAAAAGAATAGATCGAGATAAATTGCCGATCACATACATCCGTCATGTTACACTTTCTGTTATAAACATGGAGCAAAAATATCGTAAAATCTATTCGTTTATTACTATCTTATAATGCTTAATACATTTCCAATCAAGGACAGAAAAAACACTTATCCCAATTTTTTTTATAAAATTAAATGATAAAATCATTCTCTTAATAAAATTTTTCTAAATAAAATACTAAAAGATAAAATAAAATCTCGTATTTTTAACAAACTCTATTGACAATTCAAATAGAATTTGATCGACGGAAAACTTTCCGGATTGACTATGGACATAAAATAAAGATTCGATCAAATTTTGTTACAACAAAACATTTAAATTCCTTTTACATTGTTTACGACAAAATTTTACGCACTCGTAATTATAATCTTGGTTACAAACAGCCGGTATTAAATTTAATTAAAACAATGTAATTACAAATTAGTGAGCAAAAATTTAAAGCCGTTTATCCTTTATTTTGCAATAATTAATGACGAGTCGATAAAACGCGCGGGGAAGATCGAAAGATTACACTCACGAGAATTTTCATGATGATTTTTGATGTATTCCGGAAGCCAGGCCAAGCGACTTTTTAACCGTTATCGGGTTATAATCAGCGCACACTTGCGTGCCAGCGAATATTACACTACGTGTGCGAACAGTGCACTTAGATCCTACCGAAAAGCCACGTACGAGACTCTCGTGTTAACCGCAGTTAAAAAGATGCGAGCTTAGGTGGCTCGGAGTGGCTTTATAGTCACCGAGACGCTCCGGTTATGCCCCCTTTTTGCCCCGCCATCGGCCGTTTTCTGGAGGTTGAAGGAGAAAATAAATCTTGGACTTTAGTCGCGTAATCCGCTAAGCATAGGGTGGTGGATTGGTGGTCGGGGCTTTCCGCAGTTAGACGATAGGTAGGTGGTAACGGATGGTCCTCCTCGCTTACATTCGCGTTTCATGTGTCTCCCGTGAATCCGCGTGCGCATTTCTATGCCCACGTATCCTCCGTAAGCATACAAACTCGTTGGCTAAACGTACAAGCACACGCATTACGCTTATAATGTAGGTATACATCACAAAGTTTATATAAACTATGAAATATATATACTGTAAGATCATATATATACTTGAAATTCAAAATTTAGAATTACAAGGTATTCTGAAAAGCGTAATTTTTTTTTTTTTTTAGATAAGAAAGATATGGAAAATGCACAAAGCACTCGGCAAGTATTTTCTCTCAAATATAAAAGACAATATTTTTTTTTAAAAACGTGGTTTAATAGTTCAAAATAATAATTCTATAAGAGTCGCAGAGAGAATAAAATATACAGAGAGTATTGTATCGTTTTTTTTTGTTTTTTTTTTGAATATACGTCGTTATTTATGTCAACTACATAATATGCCTGCGATATTACTCAGTCCTGGCATGGGCCTTCTCACGTATATTAAGCACGCGTACGTTACATGTCGCCTGTTAACTGCTATTTATATCTCACACTTAGTCTTTACGCTTTTTCTCGCACAGTTCTTATGCACCTCGCGCGTATATATATCATTCGCATCGTTTGGAGGTCGAAATGTTTGTACGCACTTTGTTACGCTATTCTGTTATGAATTGAATTTACATACGCGCATTAGCATTTTTTTTTTGCTCGTGCAGAAATTACATATTTGTATCATTCTCGCGTGATGTACGCACCGTGCATATATTATACAATATTTATCGCACGAGAGAGAAATATATGCGCTAATGTCTACAATTTTTATGTCCAAACACATTTCCTCGTATATGTATAAATAATAATAAACATCAATAAATGAAAGATATATGTAAAATAGAGCGCGATCTAAATAGAAAAATCGCAAATGTAACATATTTTCTCAAGTAAAATTTTAACTAAAAAAAGTTTTTAAACGTAGCATGTTATCATACGCGCGATTGAAATCCTACATCTAATTAAGACGTACTTTGTACATCGCATCTTGTGCGAATCGAGCTAGTATTTCGCGCTCGCGGAAATACCCTTGTTTACTTTGATGCATATCCGTGTATGTGCATGTACTCATATCCACGCGATGAAATCAAACCTGAGGATGATACGTGCTCGTCGGGAGAACTGTCATTATCTCGCTCGTCTCGTAACGTCTTGGTCTCATTATGGAGTTTAGTTCATCGATGCCGGATTCGCCACGGATCATCGCAGGGCGTATTCCTTTCACCGCATCGAATCGATGCAACGGCAATTTGCCGCGGCGCACATTGTCGATTCTTGCGACATACCTCGGATAGAATACCGTGACACATCCTCCGGTCCTTCGAGATAGATCAGGATTTCGCGAAACAGGTCCGCAGGTCCATCCGCGCGACTTTTCCAAATTGCTTTAAAGCTTCCGATCCCTCATTGCAATCGTAAGAGATTATGACTTTGAAAACGAAAGATTGTATAAATTGTTTTTTTTCTCGTCAAATTACATTTGCTTTTTTTTATTGTGGTGCTGGAACTTATATGTATAATTAAGTGTTTAATTTGTGTAGACAAGATTTGTGTAAATAAGATTCTACAACAATGGAAATAAAACAAAAGAAATATGAGCAATCTTATACATAGATTAATATCACGGTGATTTAAATATTAATTATAATGTGTATAATAATCTCCTTCAAATATACACAAGATACACAATTTTATACATTAATTTTTTAAATATATATTTGTTTTTATATATACATTATCTCTTTTCTTATAATTGTATGTAAAATTTATAATTTTTCTCTTGAAAAATATTATCAATTTAATATATAAAAAATTAAGTTTACATAGTCAAAGTCTCTATTAAAATTAGGTCATTTCAAATCTCACAATCAGTTTGTAAAAGGCAAAAGAGCTTTTAAAATAACAAAGGTATCAATATAATTACATATTTGTTCTGCATTCTCGGAAGATCTCACGGATAAGTTACGCGTGGGTATCTTGAAACTGAATATGGACGCATAACTAATAAATAATTATAAGAAAATGACTGCCTATAAATATTTCATGCGCGATTTCTGCAATATGCCGTCGATAATCAATATATATTACTGTTATGCAAAAAGATTTATGTATATTCTTTTTTGTACATCTAATTAATTAAAAAGCTATATGTATAATAATTCTCTTTTAAGAGAAAGAGAGAGAGACAGAGAGAGAGAGAGAGAGAAAAATTTTTACCGATTTTCTTTTGTTTATTCATATATGTATAATGTTAAATATAACAATACAAGTAAGTACATTATGTATACATATATTTCGATTATTAAGTCATCTTATAATATACATTAATTTTTTTATTCTTCTCATGAGACATCAAAGAACAAAATTTGATTAGTTAATTTGTTTGCATCTCGAATAAAGCAGGATGCACAGCAGGATTTGCATAATAAATCTTTGCAGCATTTTTCTGACCCTTCGATGAGTCGATACATCTCTTCCGCTTCAAGAATAATTCCAATAATCTCCTAAATACGGGAATCGACAAAAAAGGACAGAGTGAGGACGTAAGGATACGCTTGGAGAACAAAAATCGTATTGAACAAAGGACGCGAAATCACTTGTAACGAGCGCGAGACGGCAACGAGGATGCACCGGTACTGCATGTTTGACAGGTAGTATTTAAACCATCGGATCGACAGAAGAAATCTCGCCCACAGATACACGTACATACATATTTCCGAAACGCGTCGGGTAATGATGATATTTACAGTTTCGCCACTAATCTTACTGTTGGGCTTGTAATGCACGCGCGCGTGGGTGTAATAGAGACAACATTATGTACAAGGTAGTCTCGAAGGATCCCGTTGAACTTTTTATCAAGAATATCTCTAATCTCAAGCGGCACATCGCCAGAGACATGAATGCTCATGAAACGTAGGCGAGATCACAGAATTATGGATGCCCTCTACCGACGATTTCCACGAAATTCGAGAAAATATTATAATCATCCATGCATTGTGCAAAACCTGCACAAATAAAAAAATTGCGATACTAATAATATAATATCTTTCTTCATACAAATATATGTATTCGTGTATAAGAATGATATAAAAGTATATGAATCGAACAAATATTAAAATTAATATCACAGCGCGCTTATAAAAAAATAAACCTTAACTTACTCCAATCTTTTGATATCTAAATTGATTTGATTAGTTTTTATTCTTAAAGTTAAGATATTACATTATTAACTAATTTTTGGTACTAATATTTACACATAAACTCTTTTATGCGAGATATATTTTAAACATGTATTCTTGGACAATACCTCTTATCATCTCAATCATACTTTATCAACTCTCGCAGTGCAATGCTGTCATGTACTGCATTCTAGGGCAGTTTCAACGAAACAATGACGGTCTTTTTTATTTACAAGCTCAAGCATATCTAGGATAAATCCTATCGTACATTGACGCGAACCTACCCTTTCTTTTGTCTGTTAGCTGTGTTTAGCATTCTGCAAGCGAGATCGTTGCATTGTTTGGTATGACACGAAGAGGATTACGCTCGCAATAAATTCCGTGAATTACAACTCCGACTTTGCATCGATAAAACAATTTGTATCTCTATGGAACAAAATATGCATCATCAATTTCAATCAAAGTACCTTTGGCGAATTTATTGTTTTCTCTTTTAATTAAAATTTGTAGTTTGAACAACGGGATTACTGTTGAAAAATTTGTATATATTCCACGATTCTGAAGATATACGAATTATTATGTCATTCTTGGGGTTTAATTTTCATTTAAATTATTTCATATTTCTGAATTTTATCGGAATGATACTTAATGTTACGCTGAATTAAATTTTCGCAAAATCTAATCACATGTTTGACATTTGATTCGTTGAGTAGGACATCGGGCGGGGTTTAATCGGGGTATTTCGAGATGACACGCTTGACTATTCGCACCTCTTTCTCACTTAACTCTATAGCCCAAGAGTGCAGAAAGGTGTTACCGGAGAAAGAAAGAGCCTCAACAAAAGGCGGCGCCTTGACATTAAAATCTGTTCTTCCCGCGAGAAACGCTGCCTTTATCGTGCGGTCGCGAATAAACGAGCGACGATGAGCTTCGAGGACGGGGCGCGAACGAGAGGAGTAAAACGCCGAAGAAGAATAACCTGTCAGTTATGCCGCTCCGGGGTTACCCAAGAAGAGGCAATCCGCCCTCGAATCTTCATCTTCGATTCTTGAAAGAGATGCGTTTCTTAGCGAAAACGAAACACCTTCCTATTCCTATGTTGCCTCTGTAGCGCGCAGTGTTTTATCGGGCATAGAAAATCTTAAATTCGCGCGTTGCGCCATTATCGGTTCTCTTCCATTGGGCAAAGTTCACTCAATCTTTAATCTAGATATCAGGTTTCTTTGCTTACGTTAAAATTGCACTTGAGTTTAAGGAGGAACAAGACGAATCGACTAAACAATCAATCTTTGCTTAGTCTCGCGTAAAGTTTCACAACGGATTTCGCAATGGAATTTGACGGTAAGTCATATGAGAGCACATACGTACATATATACACGTAATCGGGCGAGATTGAAGGAGAGCAAGACATAATCTGCTAGTGGTTATGCCATGCGTTACTTAAGAAGAGCGTGGTTATCCGCCCTCGGATTATGTTGCATTCGTTCACTCGACGTACTAATTTTAAACACTACTATTAGCCATTTTTTTCTAAGCGGTTTCAGAAACTTATGCTTCTTTAGGCCGAATC